AAATACAGGGTGAAGAGCAAGAGTAGAGGTGAGGGATGGAGTAACAGCAAATACAGAGTAAAGAGCAAGAGTAGAGGCAGGGAATGGAGTAACAGCAAATACAGAGTAAAGAGCAAGAGTAGAGGCAGGGAATGGAGTAACAGCAAATAGTAATACAAAATAAAGACAAAAGCAGAGGCAGGGAATAGAGTAACACCAATTACAAGGTGAAAAGCAATAGTAGAGGCAAGAAATTGAGTAACACAAATTACAGGGTAAGCAGCAATAGTAGAGTCAGGGAATGGAGTAACAGCAAATACAGGATGCAAAGCAACTGTAGAGGCAGGTAATGGAGTGCTGATGACTAAAATTAACGTGGCAAGTACTCATACTGCAAATTTGGTTGAGGTAGAGGTGCCATCATCTGATCTGCAATAGTGCCAAGCAGGAAGTGTCTGAGATCAAGATCTGTGAAAAGGAGCTTTTTACGTCAGTGGTGGTTGATGAGGACACTTAAGATAAGATGGAGCTTGTCTCCTCTGCATTTTGTTGTAATATCACACTGATGCACTGGAAGGGACTGACGAAAGACACTTAAGCTGGTCAAACCCATTGAATCATAATGTCGAAACTGAAGACACTTAAGAAAGCTATGCAGAAATCTGTCAAGGATGTCCTTTCTCTGTGGGTTTGCCGTGTTTACAAGATTACCGTGGCAGTTAATGGTCATGACAAACACGCAAGTAAAAGAATCTGTCAGCGCTGTCGAGCTTAAACAGGGAGACGGTAAATTCCCTATAAGTTTGGTTGCATTTTTGTGAGCTAGTTTGAGAGTTAAGTTTCTGTATCACCTGCAGCTGTGTCCCCCTCTGTCTAATGCCCCTGAAAGTCAGTAAATCAAAGCCTAGCATGAGATCAAGCTCATTAGCTAATTATCTCCGAGGGGCACCTCTCACATGTTCCAGGCGTGTAAACATCAGGGTTGGAAGCATTGTAGCGTTCATGCTAACGTGGTATGGTCTCTATGGTGTTGATGCATTGCCTCTATACACAGTTGTAAAACTGCACAAATGGTGTTTATGTCACCTGAGGTACTTTATTTGTTGTACTGAAGGAGAAGAGCTTCACTTTTCAGTTCCAGCGCTCAGGGGCTGGTACTGTTTCTGGTCCGGAGCCCAACTGGGGACACAGCTGTTAATGCCTTGGGCAAGGAACCTGACCTCAGCTACTCCCTGATTTTTTATTTTTTTTGTAAAAGAAGGAGGGCAGAAAAACAGGCACGAACAGGTTCCAGAGTTTGTCGTTTTGGTCGAAGGCGTCTGCCAGTGATTAAGTTTGCTGAAAATTATAGACCTTTCCATTTTCGGGGATTAATGAGCACTGGCAGGGAGAGTAAGTACCAGGCTCCTGGGTCCCAGAATTTTCATCTGGTCAGTCGAAGCACATTAAGTTTGATCACTGAAGGGACGTGGCTTTGCCCCCCACCCCCCGTGCCTCGGGCCCCAAGGGGACCCTGCATCACACTGATTTCTGCACACGGCACACGGCACCAACACAAGCACCCCCCAGGGAGCCGTTGTTCACCATTCAACAACTTCACCTAATTCATATACTTGTTAACTGTTTTTATTCGGCTAATTAGCCATTTTTTGTGTGACTGTCTTTTTATGCTTTGAGTAGGCAGCCACTTTTGTTTTAGCCGGGTGAACCTTCCGGACTCCGTGTGTCCTTGAACTGTATTTCAAATGAGCAAAACGGATAGACTGCCCCCTCAAGGTTTTTGATGAAGGGCATCAATGAGCCCTGTTGCCGTGGACACTGTTTACACGTGTTTGAGCGCCTCTTAGGAGTTAATAGGCTCATGGTGTGGATGTAATGTGCAGCCTGGTCTCGTCGGAGGGGGAGATCACGGCCGAGTTGATTCCGGCGTTCCGAAAAGCCGTGCGTCACTCCGAATGAGACCACCCCCCCCCCCGCAACAGCGTCAAGGTTTCCGACGGCGACGTCAGCACAGCCTTTCAGCTGGGAACTCTCCTGCTCCCCACTTGCCCATGATTCAGTAATCATCTTAAAAAGAAAATCTCGAAAAGTCAGCCTAATCAACGGGGAGGACTTAATTGCTGCTTGAGTGTGCCTGACCTTAATAATTACATACTGTGATGGGGGGGGTTGCAGGGTTTTTGAAGTGGGTGGTGTTGGGGAGAAACACTCTAATGTCATATGTGACAAGCTTCACAATTGAGATCCAGAGAGGTGACCTTCTTGTTTTAAGGATTCTTTGTCCCTGTTATCGATGGTACAGGAGTATTTGTGATTTGTGTGTCTGTGTTTTTACTTAATTGCCCAGAAGCTACATTGGATAATAAACACCTGCCTACATTCTTCTATAACCTACTCATGAACCTGCAGGTGCTCAGGCCTGTTTTACCTGACTACTCATCAGCACTCGGCTGAACCAGTCTGTCATCAAAAGCATGACAAATTAAGCAGTTGGCAAAAGCTGGCAAAATAGATCTCCGGGGAGGTTTAAACCCTGACTAGCTGTCAGACACAACGATACAGAGAAGTGGCACGATTTTGGCAAAACCGTGAACCTGGCATTTCTGACAAAAAGGGTGGAATACCAATAGGAGAGTAGGTATGCTGGGCCGTGGGTCTGTCTCCCTCATCGAGCGGCAGGGACCGGTGAATGAAGGACAGCCTGGATCGGACCTGGAGGAGTTCGCCTGAATCCTCGATCAGCAGCACTTAGCGCCGTTTGTTGTCTTCAGTGCTGTGCTGTCCGCGTTCTCCTGACTGCATTTGTGGCTCCCCCTCAATCGCCTCCCTACCGAAACGCCACAGAAATGTCAGCCACTCCCGGAGTCGCACGTCCCCCCCCCCCCGATGACAGATCCTGAAAAACCGCGTGCTGTAATGTAGGCTCGTATCGGCTCTACTGCGGCACTATCGGCAGTATGGAATCACCCCCCTCTTCCTCCACCTCCTCCTCCTCCTCCCCCCCCCCAGGTCCCGGGCTGTAGTACAGCACCATCTAGTGACAGCTCGACCGGGTGTTGCGCACGAGGGAGCGGATTTTCTCCAGCAAAAAAAAGTTGGAGGGAAATTAGCTCCTGGCGGTAATGTTCTGAGGCACTGGACGAAAATACCACAGCTCCATACAGCCCGTACCTACGTCTCACACATCCTCCCCTCCCCTGCTGGCGCCTTTCCGGAGAATAAGCAGTTCCTCCCCCACCGCCGTTCATCTTTAGATGAAGCCTTTTTCCTTTTGCCGCTATACGCGACCACCTCCCATTAATAACAATCATGAATAATACAGAACAATGTAACACTGAACAATGAGAATGTATACAGCAGAATGCTAATGTGGAGCAGTGAAACTGGGCTTTGGGTTGGGTGATCTCCCTCCAGGGAGGGGCATCAGAAGGGCATGGATACCCTGGCAGATTCAGGGGGCCCTACTTTTAAGGGCCCCCAAAATCTACCATTTGGGACCACCCCCACCCCCACTCAGCAGATTCGATGTACTACGGGTCACGTGTTTCTTCAGATTAAAAGTTGAAAGTGCCAACCCAAGTGTGGGGGAGGGGGGGGGGGGTAAACATTTCCTTAGGGGGCTCAGAATTTCGAGTGACGCCCCTGACTGAGCCTGACTACCCCACATACATTTAGGATTTCATGGCAGAATGACCGGTGTACATGAGATGTCAAAGCCAGAATCCTAAGGGCAATTAGCCATAATTCAAATCAAACATGGCCAGAGTCCTTATGCCGGCTCGTTAATTAGCACTTACGCGGCATCTTACACGGGCTTCCGAGGCACTCCGTGTGCCGGGGGAAAAAAACGCTTCCGGTTAAGAAAAGGCAGCATATGGCACAGCAGTCTAAATGCTAATTTCCTGTTCTTTCTGTGTTGAGAGGATCGCCGAGACCTATTATTTTCATTTCCTGTTCAAGTACACTTTTTTTTTTTTTTTCTTGCGTTATATAACCGCGTTCTGGTGAAAAGGGCAGGTGGCGTACGAGCACCAAAGTGAGTGTGACTCATGGGCACGGACGAAAAAAGCGACAGAGATGTGGCGCTTGCCTCTTCAGAGGCGACTTATTGAATCGAGCCCCGGCAGCTGCCGCATGGGCGTGTGCGCGTGTGGGAACTTCGGTTGTACAGTGCAGGAACATGGTGTCGAACCTCGGGCCGGACAAAGCTATCCAAAGCTGATTTATTTCTCACATTGTGACCCAATTCCGTAAACACGCTAGCGACCGATATTCGGCGTACGAGGCCGGGCTGCAGACGATCCGACACGGCACCCTTCCGACCGGGGTTGTGCGGGAAGCTAGACGGCGGATGCAGGTGGGGAAAGAATTTTCCAGAAGAAAGCCACGCCACGCGCCCATGTCTCCCGCTTTCCTGTAGGAAAAGGATGGCACCATTTAATAAAAAGGGAAATGATTCAAATTTTATAACAGTCAAAATGGTCAGGAAAACCGAGTTGGCAGGAATCGATCATGAAACTTCAGATCCGAAGAAGAGAAAGCACATGGAAATATGTTTCAATATGGGTGGATAAAATCCATCCATCCATCACTTATCCTTGAGAAGGTCAGGGGGGGCAGGAGCTTATAGCAGGTAACGTTGGACACAAGATGTGGGTACACATGGCAGGACATAAACGCGCACTGCAAGCTATTTAGCATCACCAGTTATCCCGAAAGCGTGTCCTTGGAGCAGGGGAGGAAACTAGAGAACTGGGAAGATGCCCATGTGATAGAGCGAGAACATCTCCAAACTGCACCAACAGAGCAGGAATCGAGCCCCCTCCCTGCAGGCGCAAGATAACAGTGCCACCCACTGAGCCATCATGCTGTCCAGATGGATGAAATATATTATATATGTGTATATATTTGAGAACAGTTAAAATCTGGCACATCCTGTAAAGCTTATCACAGAAACGTGCAGTGTGGATATGCAGTGTGGATATGCAGTGTGGATAATTACTATTTCCTTTCTTTTTTAGCATACTACAGTGCTTCCATTCATCCTAATCGAGATGAGAACAACACACCACAAGTATCCTAGCAGGTTCTGTGGACTGCTGGCAGTGTGCAGCTTCGCCGTGGGGTATGTTCTATGGTAAGTGTCCCCCTCTCTCTCTCTCTCTCACTGGCCCTCATCGATTATTGGCCGAGCGAGGCATGAGGAAGCAGGCATGACTAATCAATCGGTCAAACCGATGGCACGTATGGGCGCCAGCAGCGCCGCTTGCATCAGAACCCCACGGCTGGGTGGGCTGACTTTTCTCCAGCGTGGTGCGTTGCCTGCGGTCTGGCGCTCTGGCAGAGCGGCGCCGGCCTTCACCAGAACCACCATCACACATGCCCACGTGAATCCAGAGCGCTGATCAGTGTTGTTATAGTGTGGATTTTTTAATTTAGTTTTTATTTTTATATTATTTTTCAGTTTTCATTTGAAGCCCAGTTAAATTTTCGTTAATTTTCAGTGTGGTTTTATTAGTTTTTGAAGATATATTTCTATTTAGTTCTTATATATTTTATTTCTGGAGATAGAAAAAGCCGCTAAACTATTTTATGTGTGATCTTCATAGAATACTTCATGAATACACAATGTACTCGAAATGGGCAAAACATGTTGCAGGTATTACTAATGGTCATCTAACAGCAATATATAGGCGCTCCTCAACTTGCATAGGGGATGTATTCTGAGGAGCCCATCATAAGTGGAATATATCATAAGTTGAATATGAACGATGTTAAAAGTAAGTAAATAACTACTGTTACTGAATATGTAAATGAATAATTACTAAATATTGAAAAGCAAGTAAATGAATACAAGTTTTTTGGTTAAAAACTGTAAAAAGGAGATGTTTGATGGAGACTGGAAGCATGGCTGCAGGATGCTGCTGTCGCCCAGCATCAGTAATGGCATATCACAGGTCCGGGATCAGATCAGAATTCAAAAACTGACTACTGAACGTGCATCGCTGTCGCACCATCATAAGTCGAAATATCGTAAAGCAGGGAGCATCTGTGCTGGATTACATTTCCTTGAATGATTTCAATCAAGAGGAAAGATGAAGAAACCAGTGCTTTAGCTAAATACTATTAAAGAGTGATAAGGGAAAGTATTTGACGTTTGTTTTCACCGTTTTATTTAGTGCCGGAAACATTATTTATGGGAATTTCATCTATTTCAGTTTGCGAAAACGTTTGCGTTTTCGTTTTAATTTTCGTTAACGATATTGACCCTGGTGCTGATTTAACAGAGGGACTCGCCGCCGCTTCCTGCCGCGTCAAACCCGATCGGACAGCATGCTGATGTGGCGCTCGCACCTGAGATGTCACGACGGCACTGTATCTACCCACCCTAATCCCCCCGCCCGAGCCTGCTTGGGAATTAAGAAGATTAAGTAAACGAAGAGGCGTGGGTGCTGTGTGGCAGCAGGCAGACTAAACCTAACCCTAACCCTAACCCCATCCTGCCGCCTTACAGGGGGGTTATGGAGCAGTGAGACAGAACCAGGCGGGCCGCCACTAGCAGACACAGCTAAAGCGGACCCACGAGGCGCTGCAGTTACTCCAGCGCTGAAGAATGTGGGGGAGATGTGAACAGAGCAATTGGGAAGGAATTGGGAAACTGATCTTGAGGTTATTGTGCCCTTTCATTGGGGAACCTCATTAAAAAAAAACCCAGATTAATATTTATTGAGCCTGACTGCATGGATCGTCCCGGTGCCGCTGACTACCTTGCTAATTCACATTGCTCCGGGAATCTCCGTAAGTTTCATAATCATAGAGAAAAACACTGAGATAAAGCATAAATGTTTTCACTGAAGGATACCACAGAGACATCACTGCATAATACAGGGGGACTTCGTTCGGGAAGGGGTCAGACCTAAGGGATGGCTAGTCGTTTTAGCTCAGCCCCTTTGGGGGGGGGGGGGGGGGGGTGCAGGTGTGGCCTCATCACAGGGGTGAGCGGGCGATCAAGGCACTGTGGACATGACCAGCACCTTGGTATGGCCTGTCTTGGTTTCAGACCAGTGATGACTGGGCTATCAGTAGCGGAACACTCTCCTGCAGAAAGTCGCAGGAGTGGTGGTGGTGGTAGGTGGGGGGGGTGTCCTCTATATCTGCCCCCAGCCCTTTCACCTGTGGAACACTGAGCCGTCCTGTAGAATACCCCCCCAGCGTGATGCTCCATTACATTCATCAGGTTCTTCTCGGTCTCCCTGAAGGATTCAGCGGTTTTGTCGTCATTGTATTATGCACAACGAAAGCTGACGCACTACGAATGTGAAGAAAATAACATATAAACAGGGTTAGGGTTAGGGCTAGGGTTAGGGTTAGGTTGGGCGGAGGTTGTGGGTTCTCAGTAAATTGTTATCAAACGGGGCAGTTGGTAAAGCTTGCCAGTTGAGGGTCCCTTCTGTAAATTTTTCCGTGGGACCCCTGGTGTGATTGGCCCGTGGTCTACCTCTACCCCTACCTCTACCCCTACCCCTACCTCTACCCCTACCTCTACCCCCACCTCTACCCCTACCTCTACCCCTCCACCAAAGCAGACGTATGCTGTTTCCCCTTAAACGCCGTAGTTGAGTGGCACTGCCACATCACCCAGTGACCGTGTCATTACTTTGTGTCACAGGATGGCACAGAGCCCCTGATGTCTCTCATCTACTCTGTCCTTCCGGCAGGATGTGCTGGGTCCATCACGTCACTGGCGTTTGGGTCTACCCACTGCTGGACCGCATCGGCCCCCTCGCCAAGGTCACCTTCTTCTCCTCCGTGACTGCCTTGATTAGCATCTTCTATGTCCTCGGGGAGGTCCTCAACAGCTACATCTGGGACTCCTGGAGATGTAAGCCCCCACGCCTGTCACAGGGGGTTGTGTTGGAGCGGGGGGGATGCAGTTGGGGGGGGACCAAAATCCAACCATAGAGCAGCATGTCTCAGCCTGGTCTCTGGGGACCAGCAGACAGGCCACATCTTTGATCCCTCCCAGCACACCTGTACCAGGTATTCGGTGTTCTCGATTGGCTGGGAACTGGGAAAGAGCAAAAATATGGCCTGTCTGAGGCTCCCTGTGGAGTGGGCTGAGAAATACTGGTGTAGAGTGAACTGTAGTCATCAGTAAGCAGACCCTTTCATTGTTTGAAAGGTTTGAAGGCATAGAGCTACTGATTGGGTTGGATAAGAAATACTACTCCCTCTCCCACCTGCTTGAGACCAACCCACAAATCACTGGAAACTGGCGAGCAGTTACTTCACTGCCCCTTCTGCCTGTCCGGTGATTCAATCAGTTCCACTGGAGTTTCAGCTCACGCCGTTAGCTCATTCTGAGGACGTGAAGGGCTATTCACTGTTATTCATTATAAAATATTGAGCTGAACAGCAAGAGCTTTGTGGGGGGGGGAGGTTCTCATTTGTGTCAGTTGGGCTATCTAAGAATATGTATAACAAACTGGAATTATTTTAGCTTAGAGATATAGTGAGGCTTTGTCAGGCAAATTTGGTAAAAGTATGACAGTTTTTCAGATCATAGGCGCCCCATGGCTTCACCCAGATAAATTAGTAAAAAAATATTTACAATATAATCATTATTTCACATTGATATGACTAACATATGTCACATTTTCAAATATAACTTAATTTTATTGAACTTAATATGCTCAAATTGCATTTCTACCCCCCCGCACCCCCCCTTAATTGCTATCCTTCAGATCATGAGACATCGTATCGAAGCAAAATCTCTTTTTGAGTGCAGCCTGGATAATGAGCGTCTTTGAACGCGACCTTGAGCTGTCTTGCCACTTTGTTGTGTCATGCAGATGCTGTGGACTCAGAGAAACCCAAAGCAGACTGATACCGGGACCAGAGGATTAAGAAGCCAGCGTTTGACCCCATTACCCCCGTCCCTCCCCCAAAGAAAACAAAAGCTCTGGAGATGTAGAATTGACTCTATCCACAACAAACCAAATCATACGCGAGGTTAGTTGCTGAGAGGAGCTTTCCTTGATTATTAAAACTTAAGAAGAGCCAATCGTTCAGCCGAAGCCTCGCTTCAGATTCCTGAGTAGAATCGAAACCCGAGGATTCGGCGTAAAGAAACGGCGCCGTCAGCACAGCGAGACGAGCTCCTATATCACACGAGGGTCTGTCCATTCCAGCATTTCTCTTCTCCCATAATGTAATTCCAGTATGAGCTCCCAAGCATCATTTGAGCTACATTTTCCCCCTATGTTGGCCATGTTAGATTATTACTTTGCTCCGGGTGTAATATTTATCTTAGGACGCACGGCCGTTCTGGCTGGAGCAGCGAGGGCGTCCTGTGAAACATGGGACGTGCTTCTCTGGCAGCGCAAAGCTCACCAGCTCAGACTCCAGTTCCCTCGGCGACAGACCGATGTCTCCCAGCCCCGTAGTGCGTTTCACAGCTGTACTCTGGAACGTGCTGTTCTGGGAGAGCGAGACTGTGAGGACGGGACCCCTTCCAGGCCCAGCCCGCCATCGCGGCTCCGCGTGAGCGACGTCCCGCCATTTGTTGTGCCACGCTGTTGAGTTCTTGCTGAGTGGTCTTCCAATAAAGAGGTCGTTTTCTCTGCCCCGGCTCGGGTCCAGTTGCCGAATGGGCTCTGATCTATCGCCAACCCGACGTGGCTCGTAAAAAGCACGGATGCATACACATGCATGACAAACCTCTTTTCACACTGTAAGCCCCCCTAAGCTCTGTGTGCTGAAGTCTTGGGCTGGAAAGGAAAATGTTTAAAGCTATTTATCTGGGTGATAAGAGTGTATTTGTTGAAGAAGAAAAAAAAAAACCACACAATTTAACATTAAAATATATGCAAATAATCAGCAACACTATTAAAAACAACATTTTTGTGGTCTCCAAAATGTTACTGATATCTTTTTGTAGGGCTACAAGAACAATGATTCACTTCCCGAACTTGTACTGCAATGCAGTCATTCCATGTATGCGTTCAATTACAGCACCAGTTAAATCAATGGTTTATTCATTAGCCAAATACATAAGGCTCGTTAGTCAAGGAATACATTGGTATTATGGTTGGCTGCTGCAAACACTGGAGTGACTTTAGGAGAGGTTTTGAAATGGCTAAGCTGACACACTTCTACAGACATCATAGTTTTACCCCACCTTGACGATTATTTAAACATCACTTTCTTTGACTGCCTAAGACTGTTGCACAGTACTGCATGTATAATGAGTGACCTATACAAGGATTATTCAACCACAGATACACGTATTAAAACACTCCTCCTGGCATGACGGAGCAGATTAGGGGCAGTAACACAGACACAAAGTGGCGGCTGCATTGTCATTAGATATCTGGTTTAATTAAAGGTTGGGGAGGGATATCTCACGCCGACAGGCCGCCTGTCACCTGCTCGCTTTCCAGCTGCCTCTCATCTCATCCTCATGGGATATTTTTTCCCAAACAAATGCAAACCGAAGACATGATCGGCTGATCGCGCGCTCGTACCTGTCAGCGGGCGCTCAACGAGAAAACCGGCGTGTTTATTTAACGCAGCGCAGTATGAACCTCGTCGCTTGGCAGCCCGCCCCCGACAGCCCTCGCACGTGACGCCGCCGAGTTCGAGCGCGGACGCCCGCACGCGAGCTGGAGAACGACACGTCGTCGACTTCTCATTAACACCACAGGTACCCCTCGCGGAGGTGGCAAAGTGAGTCCGTTTTGAAGGATGCGGTCGCATACATTTGCATGCTAATTAGAGAAATGTCACCACCCTCGGATCCACCTGCCCCCGGAGCTTTGGGCGTGCGACGTACCCTGGATAACTCGCAAAAACACACAGGCCACCGCAGACCGTGGGCGCGCAAACGAGCAGAGGTATGTAAATACGCAAGCCAGACCACGAAAGCTGCGCAGCTACAGCCAGGCTGCCGAAAGTGGTACAGCAGCACAGGAAATGGCTTCTGTCCCCTTTACTCACTTCGCAGACGGCCACACACCCTGTCTGAGTCTGCAGGACCTCTGGTTAACCGGGCCGTGGCTGCAGTGAGCGGCTCAAAGCCGCTCTAGGCAAATAAATACATTTTTCACCCACCTGACACCCACCCAATATTCTCCCAGACACGCTAAGCGTAGAGAGGCACACAGAAGTATGCGTGTGCGGATGGGAGGAGAGGGAGCATTTTTACCATGTGGGTGTAGGATAGGGAGAGAGAGAGAGAGGGATGAGGAGGTGTAGGGATGAAAGAGGGGCTGTTAGGACAGGGGTAGGAGTGAACGAAAAGAACTGGCCGATGAGCCGAACAGGAAAAGGAGCCGACGGGAATTCTTTATGGGGGCTGCAAAATGGGGAGGGGGTGAGTGTGCGTGTCACACACCCAACGAAGCCGCCGCGTGTGGTGGCTGCATTAGTCAACCGAGGGAGTCTGTCTGTGTTTCAATGGGTCCTTGAGAGAGGATGGAAGAGTGTGTATTTTATAAGAGAGAACGCGTGTCTGTCGGGGGGGGGGGCACGTGGGACTCTTGGCAGGGGAGCGGCGGTGGCATTCTCTCGGCTCTTGGTCATCCCAGACGCCATGCCTGAGTCCGCCGCAGCACGGGGGCTACACAGCGTCCCGGGGGTGACGGAGCGACCCCTGCATTCGGCACCGCCGGCGCGAGGCCAGCGGCCGCGGGCAGATGTTTTCCGCATCCGACACTTGGGCTGGGGCCCGGAGATCCATTTCGGAGCTCGTTAGCGTGGAAGCGAGCCGCTGGCTGTCCTCACTGGCTTAATTGAACCCATAAGCAGAGAATTCCGGATTCCGGGCTGGCACCGGCTACAGAGCGGATCCGGAGTCTATTCCTGCTCAACAACTGGGGGTCGGAATCACGGCACAGCAGCACCAATATAACTACAGCTGTTGGTTTGTTACATTTATTTAAGTTTCTCTCTTTCGTCTTACATCTGAATTTCTGTTACTACAATCGAATCCAAGGACCTTGAGCGAGTCTGCCATATAGCGTCCTTCTTCATCTGGCCGGGGTGAACCAGTACTGCTGTTCAGTTTAGAGTCCCGTTTTCTATCCTGATGCCAGTTTCCAGCCTCGCCATGCGCATGGAGGCCCGCGTAGCATGGCAACGCACCACTGGCTTCACGGAGGGTGGGGCAATGCGTCACAGACAGCTGGCATCATGAAGGGGGGGGGGAGGGGGTGTCACTGGCGGGAAAACATAAAGCGGCAGTCAGGAAGTCGCTGACGCTGCTGCAGGAGCAGGCTTCCGGACACAAGCCATTCCGCCGGATTTACAGGAAAACCAGAGACAGCAGAAGCCACCGGCCTCGGTGGGGTTGGCACGCCCCGCGGTGTTGTGGAGGGGTTCAGCTTGGCGGTCTGCACTGCACCGGCCTGGCTCACACCCAGAGGCTGCTGGGAAATTCTGAGCGGCAAACAGGAAGCAGACTCAAGTCTCTTGTAGTCTTATTAAGGCCAATGAAAGTACCGAGCATGGGAGAGCATGTGGCCGTGTGGAAGGTACCCCACTGAAAACTAACCTTTCCGCTTAGCCAGCTCTCTCACCAGAATTAGCATTATTTTAGTAAAGAGTGACGACTGAATGCACGCAAGTGCCATGGATCTGTGAATCAATGAACTAGGTGAAAATGCAGGAAAGGGTCTTCAGCGAGGAACCACGCAAGCAAGAACCACGTCATGAGCTGAGCTGTCATTTGCTTGAAAACCTGTTACTCACCCAAGCAATGTAACTGCCCTCTACCCTGACATGTATGGCTCTTAATAGAATCGCAATATCATAGAATCATTCGTCTTCAGTAAGGAAATTGGGGAGTTTTCATGTATCCCATATTATGGCCCATGAGACAAATATACAGGTGAGAGCAATTTTTGGGGTCAGAGCACAGGACCACCAGCATCCAGCATCCTTGAAGCAATTAGGATTAAGGGCCTTGCTCAAGGACCTAATAATGGCATCACTCGGCTGGCCAGGGGATCTGAACCAGCAACCTTCCGGTCATAGGCATTAAGCCATAGAGCCACACGTACTGCAAAAGTGCGCAGAAACTCCCCCCAAAACTTGCACGGGTCCCAGCATGAGCAGTAAGCCAACCTGGATGTGACACGCCCTGATATCATGAACTTGTAAACTCTGCTAGTGATGCTTCCAGCTGCTACTTCAGTGCATCAAGTTTACTTTTTAAACATATGCTTTATTTATTTATTTATCCAACACAACAGCTTAGAATCTATTTAGACATTAGACTTAGAAAACAGCTGGATGTTGTACTATGGCAGCCCTGGCTGCGGGTCTCAGACTGAGCCACTTCCACCAATCCGTGTCCTTATGCTCCCTGGAAAGCCTCCATTTCCCATGAGCACAGAGCAGCAACAGGAATGGAGTCGCCCGCTAGAAAGAAGGCCCATCGGTGGCAGTGGGGACCCCTAGCTGCCAGGAGGCCACAGGTCACGCAGCTCACAGCTGTTATTAGGACCGGATATAACTTCACCCAGTGAAGCCCAAACCCCTGAGTCGCCGTGCCTCTCCACAGAAGAGGGTTCCTACACTTAACATACAGCCATCGGGCAACGGTGGCAAAACAGCGAAACGGTGATGTGATAAGCTAAGTGTGAGGATACTCATCCTCTAAGGAGTGATGAATCGTAATTTAAAGCCTGGAGGGCCTTGAACCTATCCTGAGGCAGAGCACTGGCTAGGGTTCCAGCCCATCGCAGGGCATGCATGCAAACATGCGCGTGCACACACACATACACAGACACACACACAGACAGACACACATACGGGGTGAACGTGAGTCTGAGCTAGCATGCAGCTGCCATTTGCATATATTCCACTTATTCCCCTTTTTAACTGGCATGGCAGACAGATTGCACTAAAAGACATTAGAAACAAAACTGATTAAATTCACCAAAACATACATTAAATGTTTCCTGAAGCATTACACAGAACAGATGTTCTGAATCCTAAAACAGCCTGTACGTGCTGAATTATAAGGCAGTCTCTCCAGGTAGCTTCTGTGAAGGAACCGATTCTGCTGTATAATGTTGCCCAAACCTGTCTACTCAGTAGGTTAGCATCTAGAGCCCCCTGCTGGTCAAACAAAGCATTGTCCATAGCCGGTCTTCTCAGTCCTTTCTCACACTTGGCTTTGGGGCTGAAAGCAAGACAAACGTCAGGGTGCATGAGCACATAAATCACACAAATGGCTGACTGTCCAGTAATAAGCATTACAGGCTAAGAAATGTGACTTTTCTCCCAACTGGATTTTCAAATGTTTTTGAGCTTCTCTGCCACTCTACTTTTACAGTGTTGGAAACTCTGCCCATTCTCACCAGACAATTCACCCTTTGAGGTTACAGTAAAATTCACTGTAGCACGATTTTAACAACATGGCCACAGCTACAGGGCTAAACTGGATGAGAGATTCTGCCACATAGGCACAAGTTACCCCCCACTGTGGGTGGACTGGAGGGCAGAGCTGAAGAAGTCTTACCGTTAGGGTTCTCCTGCTTGTAAAAAACCTTCAGCATCTCCACGGCTTCCTCAGCTCTGAACCCGGAGATGCACTGGGAGGGGGGGGGTGTAAGAGCATTGACTGAGTCAGCGTGCTTCCAACACCTGGCTCTCCTGCTCCCCCCAATGGTGAAGAGCGTGTGTAACGCCTCTAATGGCTCTCCTGCTCCCTCCAATGGTGAAGAGCGTGTGTAACGTCTGTAATGGCTCTCCTGCTCCCCCTAATGGTGAAGAGCATGTATAACGTCTGTAATGGCTCTCCTGCTCCCCCTAATGGTGAAGAGCGTGTGTAACGTCTCTAATGGCTCTCCTGCTCCCCCCAATGGTGAAGAGCGTGTGTAACGCCTCTAATGGCTCTCCTGCTCCCCCCAAGGGTGAAGAGCGTGTGTAACGCCTCTAATGGCTCTCCTGCTCCCCCCAAGGGTGAAGAGCGTGTGTAACGCCTTTAATGGCTCTCCTGCTCCCACCAAGGGTGAAGAGCGTGTGTAACGCCTCTAATGGCTCTCCTGCTCCCCCCAATGGTGAAGAGCGTGTGTAACGCCTTTAATGGCTCTCCTGCTCCCCCCAAGGGTGAAGAGCGTGTGTAATGCCTTTAATGGCTCTCCTGCTCCCCCCAATGGTGAAGAGCGTGCGTAACGCCTCTAATGGCTCTCTCAGCCAAAACGCAGTACAGTCAGAGGGATTTCCGACTGAAGCTGCCAGAAAGCCCGTGACTGCACAGATACCTCTCAACCTGCCTGGGCACCGTGTTTCTTAATGGCATGCAAACAGCTTGGGAGCAGGGTCACAGAAGGCATGCAGCCCACTCTACCTTGAATGCCGTTCCGGTGTTTGGCAGCTCGTCCCCGGGGATGTCGAGCACCGACCCGCAGCCGCCGAATCTCTCGTTCTTACAGCCAAAGACCACCAGAGGGATGTCTGTCTTGCAGTCAAGGCTCGGCGTCTCTCAGCTGCCAGGCACCTGCTCACGGCGGCCCACTGATCCACGCTGGCAGGCATGTTCTCTTCACATTTGGTTTTCCTTCAAATACCCTTGATTGATTACCTTGAGCAGTCTTTCATTAACCCCTGTTGATTTTACATAAAAACAGACAACTAAAGTGCTAGAGAAAAGAGAGATGAAACATTCTCTCCCCAATGCTGAAAGTATTCTGCTGTTGCTCTCCGCAAAAAGTGTATCAAACTTCAGAATAGCTAAAATGGCACAGTAACAATATTACTTGTTCCTTATCCTTTAATTTTAGCACATCCCTGACCAGAACATGCAAACACTGCCCTCTACAATCCTAGTTAACATCATTCAGGATAATCCAGGAAGTAGACCGATCAGGTACCGGAGGCCATACTGTCCTTAAGAGCAAACACTGTTAATTACGGTTCATATGGAGCATCTGCATTCAAATTGCCACAATACTGTTGCTTTTAGCGGGAAATACAAAATGAGAGGATTTCCAACTCACAACTCCACAGGTTGTAACGTAATAAATGTAAAGAAGCGCATCCGTCATATTTTACGAGGAAATACAACCATTCTTACAAATTGCTCATGACAGTAATATAAAATAAACAGAGGAATCAGTAACAGGAAAAACAAAGTCAATGTCTCCACCAGGAATGGCGGTAGTGCCCTCAGTGAGCCCAACTCTGACACTGTTTAGGATACTCATTAATCGCAAGGCTCCGGCACACATAATGCATGGCTCCACCGTCACATAGAGGACAGTCTGCCGTAGCACCTCCCCGGGGTCCCTCTGGGCCTTGTGGCACCAGTTCAGCACCTGATCCAAGGCAACCATCTCTGCATGGCGGGTAGCCTGTGGATGGGAGTTGGGAGAACGGAAAACATGGAGCGGATGAACGCCAGGCAGGCAGGTGGCCATAGCACCTAAGAAAATGGTCTTGCCGTACAATCAAACCTGTAAGAAACTTGTTAAGTTACCGAATCTTTAAATAAATAACCAGACGATTTCCTACTTACATTTTTCGTTTCATTCACTTCATTCCTTCCTTTCCCCAAGATCTGGTTGTTGTACACCATCAGACATCCAACGGGTACTTCGCCCTTCTCTAAAGCCTCTTTAGCCTAAAGAGTAAAACCTGTAAACCTTCCGCAAAACGGGAGAACGCGAGGTGGAATACGGTCCATATCTTTCACGTTACCATATCAAAAGCTTTTTGCATCCAGCTCTCTATATCCTCTGATGACGGCTGATAAAAATTTTGGCAGACAACAGGGTCTCCCACGGATTCAGTATCCATGCTGACAGATTATAGTTATCAAACAACTTTTAACAATTAAAACATACTGAGAAATACCATCACAACAAACCTAAGGTTATCTCAAATGCGATTCAGCGTTTTAATTGCAATTACAAATATTTAAAGATATAAAGTAAACAGATACTCGTATACATATATCCCGCTAAGTGCATTACTGTTAGATGCTCTTCCACTTGCAGCGAGTAGCTTTTCAGCTCGTGGACAGCGCGAGTGTTCACGTTGGAAATGCCGTTTCACTTTTCCCGTGGTTAAGAAAACTACATTTCTACATTTTAGTTATTCTTCATTGAGAAATATAGTAACCAGACTTAAAATAAATATTTTAATAAATCTTAAATATTATACATTAATGTTATGATAAATATACCTTTATCTATAAAATAATAAGGAAAAACGACAGGATAGGAACTGTATTGCTGGTAAAAATAGATGCACACCGGAATATTTAGCGTGCCGAACCGAAAAGACAGTCTCAGCTTATCGCAGAATTACAGATCGGTTCTCAGGTTCTTTGCTCGTATTGATTTCTGTTCACTGGCTGTCTAACTGCTTGGGTTATGTCCTGGCTAAGTGGGATTAATAAAAGCCAGGAATTTTACTTATTTTGACTTTAAGGATTGTCGACAGTTCCGAGAATGTTGATGTCAACGTGGAGTTTTCTGAAGCGTCACAAAAGGAAATTTATATTTGCTGGGGTTTTCGTAGGAGGTAAGTGTTGATGAGCTCGCAAAGCTAGCTATCTGGACAGCATTGTTTTCGGATTAGCCAAACAGCGATGCCACTTGGAAGGTTTTAAGTGTTAACGATCCATCTGGCTAACTAGATAGCCTGAAGCAGGTCTCACATTTGCTAAGGGCCTTGCTGAAATGGCTGTCACTTTGGATTCTTCTTATTTCAGGGAATGTAGCAGGTGAGTTATTTCAGGGACACTGCGGTTTTGTTAACATGGAGTTTTCTTCTCCGGCAAGGTGTTTATCTTTTGGGCAAGTATGCGCAGAAGAAAATTAGAGAAATACAGGAGCGGGAAGCGGCAGAGTACATCGCCCAGGCACGCCGCCAGTTCCACTTTGAGAGTAATCAGAGAACCTGCAACATGACAGGTGAAGCTCAAGTCTCTGCAGATTTTAGTCCGATCAAGTCCGCCCTAAGCGGAAGCTCTCGCATATTTTAAACTGCACTTTTTTAGGTCAGTGACATTTAACCGTGTTTACGATCAAAGGGGTTGTGGCTTTAAACACAGGGCACGGGTACCGTAAACGTGTTTTTAGGTCTCAGATCTGTTTTTTTTTCTCGTAGTGCTGTCCATGCTTCCCACTTTGAGAGAAGCTATAATACATCACCTTAACTCGGAGAGCTTAACAACACTACTGAGGAGCAAGTGAGTGCGAAGACTGGCATCGAAATGAAATCGAGCCTCATTCAAAATGCCGGCTTCGTATTGATGGTTACTGTCTTTACAGGCCTGCGAATAAGCTAGAGATCTGGGAGGACCTGAAAATCATCAGTAAGTTGTTAGATCGAGGAAAAGAGGAAACAAAATGTCACTGCAGCAGTAATTATGTCATGATCGGTTAAAACATGTCCTAAGTAACTTCTGTGCTATCTCGAGGTTTCACGCGGAGCATAGCAGCCGTTTACAGCACCTGCATGCTGGTGGTCCTTCTCCGCATTCAGCTAAACATCATCGGCGGCTACTTGTACTTGGACAACTCCGTTAGCAAGAACGGAACGGTACGTGCCAGATCGGTACTGCACCTATCTGTATATTTCTGTGTATATCTCTCTGTCTCTCTTATCGTGACGTGGCTCTCCCAGACCCCCCAGGCCCCGCCTGACGTGCAGCAGCAGTACTTGTCCAGCATACAGCACCTGTTAGGCGACGGTAAGCGGCAGATCCCATGCTGCCCCCCCGTTTTGGACACCTACATTCCATGTCAAGTGCTTGGATTGCTGCAGTATGTTGTGCAGCGCATAGCGGACATTAACAGACCACCTCTTGTTTTCTCTGATTCGTTTCACTGAAACGGAAAGCTAAGTTGCAGATAATGGAATGACAGGGAAGCATTTAAGCCAGGCCTGGTTTTCATTTCTCCCAGGTAGTTAGTTTAACGATTACTGATTCTGATTGGCCAGAGGCTTCACACTTGGCTCATGGGTAAAGGAAGGCTGGAAAATCAGCAGGGCTTGGACTTTGAGGACCGTGTTTTGAATAGCCCTGCGTTATAGTGTCTGCAGTTTATAGAAAATGATATGAGGAATTAAAAACATCCAGTAAAAGGCTAATTGAAGCCATCAGGAAGGCAACAAAATATGCAGAATGGCTTTTCTGAATCCACAAGTCATCTACCCATGAACCAGTTCTCCCAAAATGAGTACTTTATCTATACAATAAAATGGACAGTCAGTGTATAGAGTGCATTGTCATGCAAATCACGCTGGTCTGTGTTTCACACTGTCCTGTCTGCCCTAAGGTCTAAATGAACTGATGACTGTGGTGAAACAGGCCGTACAGAACGTGCTGGGCGGGTGAGTCCTTTGCTGTTTCAGATGTTGGCTCAGAGACCGTTGACATGGCAACCGCTGCGGCATTGTCCATTCAGAAATTTGCATGAATTCTGATGTCCCGAACGTAAATGTGTGTGGTCGTTCAACCCACAGGATCTCCCTGAAACAAAGCCTCTCTCTGCATGACCTTGAAGATCACCTGCACCAAATCAGAGCACTTGTAGAGGAAGGGTATGAAGGTTGGGCACAAAGACCCCTCTGTTGGTACATGATGCCCGATGAGGAGACCACACTGGCAGCTCAGGTAACAGGTCCAGCACCTTAAATCATCTCCCATTTAATTTATAACCCAGTGATTAGCCTCCTAACCAGTATTAATGATATTAATAATAGCCATAACAGCATTTGTTGAGCTGACATAACTAGAGTAATTTACAGTGTTATACTAATAAAGGTGTTATAAATGAAGAACAGTTTGAATGGGCAGAGGGTAAGCATCACAGAATGAAAAGTACGGCACGCTAAATAATCTCAGTAATCCGCACAGATGTTGTCTTTCTGGTGAATCTGGGATGTCTTCCTTTGCCGCCCCCTAGAGGACGGGCTCCACCTTTGAGTCTGGTTCCTCCCAATGTTTCTTCCTTCTAGGGAGTTTTTCCTTGCCACTGTCGCCTCTGACTTGCTCATGGGGGGTTTTGGGTGGGGATAATGTAAAGCGCTTTGAAACAATGTAATGTTGTGAAAATGCGCTATACAAACAAATTTGAATTGAATTGATTGTATTTGTTGCAGGCATGTGGTCTAACAGAAAAGGACGTTTCAACTATAAAGCTGTTGAATGAAACCAGGGATGTGCTGGAAAGGTGCAAGTCATCGTAATGTTTCACCAGACCACAAATTGGTGTCTTACCCTCCCGAATAGCTACAGAAAAAAACTCTTTAATTGCTGTTAATTCTTTTTGCAGACCTGTAAGTCCCATTTTGCCTGTGCCTGGCTGAAATGTGCACCTCTCTGTCCTCAACAGCCCCGACTTCAAGACCGTCCTCGACACCTGCCTGAGTCGTGGCTTTAGTCGTTTCCTTGACAACATGGCTGAATTCTTTCGGCCTCACCAGCTTGACTCCATGCATGCCGGCACCCCCGACAGGTCAGAACTGTCAGCCGTCTGATGACACGTTGAATCAATGTCTCATTAGGTTCTTGTTGTCTTTGAAAGATCATATTTAGCAGTTGTTCCAGTGCTGCTTACACTTTTACATTTATTGGAAGTTCACCGTATCAGCACTTATGCCTGGTTGACTCATTGACAGCTGTATATTGGTAATTTGTCTCGCTCATAAGTTGCTTTGGATAAAAGCACCTAAATAAAGTATTTGTATATTAGACTTTCCTACAGTGTCGAGGTAGCACAACAATAGATGGCCAAGTTGGCGTCAGTGTTGGGCAGGTTTTCTTGTGGCATTAGGAGGTACTAAACCTGGATTGGCTTAAAGAAACATCTGATTCAATGACAGTGTTCCCTCATACCCAGAGAAAAAGCATTGGGTGAAGTACTATCCATCGCTTAGTCATGTCTCTTTAAACCTGCCTGGGCAGTGCATGAATTCCTTCCCATCATCTTTGTCTTGTAGCCTCTCTCATATCCAGCTACCCCTCGCCAAGATCATCCCCATTGTGAATGGACAGATACACTCAATATGCAGTGAAATACCAAGTCACTTTGTGCAGGTAAAGAGCTTCTGCAACTCGGTGTTGATAGTCACTGATAAGGGACACTGTAAAATGACAAACTACAGTGGAATATGCACTTTCCATAAATGTTGAAAATATTTACGTAGTTGATTAAAAGCTGGTCGTGTTTCTCTTTAAGGATCTTCTGATGGTCGATCAGTTGAAGGAGTTTTCTGCCAATGTGTACGAAGCATTTAGCCATCCGCACGAACTTCAGAAATGACCGGCCGGGACCAGAGCGCCGCAGATACATTCCCCTCATGTCGACTTCTTTCGGGGTCTCCCAGCGTGAACTCCCTTCCCATAATTCACTTGGAGTGGGGAGGTGAAGCACATTCAATTGCCTTAGGGAGTTCTCTCTAACAAGAAGTTCCGGAACTGTCGGTCTTCATTTCCATATGTTTGGGTGTTGCAGGCCGATATAGAATGTGTCACCGTGTCTTGGAATTGCCCACTCCTGCGGAGGTTTGGAGAGCGCCAGCTCAGAGGTGCTCAGCATTTTGGGGAATCTATGTAATACATCACAGTCATTGTCCCTCCATCCATTTTCCCCTCGATGAGACACATCTTAGGACACTTCCTAGATTTTGTAAATCACAACCCCCCCCCCACAGCTGCCAGTCTATGTCATAATGGCAGTAAATTAAGTCGTGTATGCGATCCCCCACCCCAGCTAAAGTACATGTACTGTACTGCCTTTGGCAGAGTAGTTTGTGGTCTGTGCTGTCTGGGTGTCAGGTTATAAGACTAAGCAATGACAATGTGTGACATCATTGCCTGACATTTAGACAGCTTCACAGTTGCTTGGGGGGGGGGGTGGCTTTGGTACTCTACCTTTTATTATTTGAATTCCCGTTTTAGCCTAATGCAGTAATGTTGAAAATGTAAACGGGTTGTGATAAAGAACATGAGAACATGAATATTTTTAATGAACACGGTGGTGAAACCATCAGGAATATTGTGGTTTTTAACACGGTTTGGTTTACGTTATTTGGTCCAGTGTTTTTCTTTTTTTTCCCTCATCCATCCTTTTCAGTGAACTCATTACGGCAGTGACTCTATCGCCAA